ATATTTATTTATTTATTTATTTACTTATTTATTTATTTATTTATTTATTTATTTATTTATTTATTTATCATATTTTTTTATTTTTTAAAAAATTGTTATTTTTTTAATAATTAAATATGTTGATATTACCCAAATCAAGCAACTTATAAATCAATTAAATATATATTAATGTTTTTTTTTGGAAAGAATGTGGTATAATAGCGGGTGATGTATGCGTATTAAAACATGAGAATGAAGATTGTTTTAGCTAAAATGAACATTTATGTCCGACTCCTTATAATTGTAGATGTTATTTTCAATTAATATGCTATGTCTTTGACCTAAGAAGGGGAATAAATGTTGATTATTATATATATATTTATTTATTTATATTTTTTTAATATAGATTGTCCGTACTCAATATGTTTATTTAAATGATTTATGATGTTAATTTGTCATTTGCATGATGTATCTTATTTTAATGAGTTCAAGAAAATTTAAGTGTTTTATAAAGGAAATTTTGAGCAAGTTTTTCTAATACAATCTTGAGAAATTTATAAATTTCAATTATATTCTAAATATTAGATAACCTAACCAACCACACTATAATGAAAGACTAAGGGTCTGTTTGGCGCAGCTTTTTCCCTGTGGCGTGGTGTCCGGACGTCATTTTTGCTCGTTTGGCGCGGAGTTGGAAGAGCGCGCGATTTCGATCGAACGTCGAACGCGTATAGGAACCCGCTTCCCAGCTTTCCAAAGCGGCATTTTACCCTGTTGCCCTAGTCCGTAAACTTTTCGCCCCCTTGCCTGAACTGATCTCTCCCCTTTCCTCCTCTTCGCCGATCGGTTTGATCGCGTGGAGCTTCTTATCGCATTCCTCTTCTCCGACCGCATTCCTCTTACTCGATCGGTATTATTCGACCTGCTTCTGATCCCCATTACAAGAAGTTGCAGATGCCGAATAAGATGAGAAAGCACTGACATTATTTCATTTCTCTCTGATGGCATTGTTTAATTTCTCTCCAAAATGTTTTGTTCTAAAAAGATGATTGATCCTCTGCTAGGGAGAATGTTTCAAAAGTTGTAAAAAATGAAGATGAAAAACATGTGAGGTGAATCATATTGATGTCTGTGAAACTTTTTTTTTCACTCTTTTTTATTTAGAGGAAGCATTTTCTTTACAAAAAATAATGTCAACCAATAGTGGAGAAGTAGTTGATCTTTCCTTTAAGGAACAAGAGGAGGTAAAGAAGGAACTACTTTTAGAAGCAGGAAGAATATTTGAAAATTTTTATAATTATATGGTCTCTCCTTAAGTACTTTTTGGGTTAACTAGCAAATAAATCAAGAACATGAAGGGTAAGTTTGAATGGGTAGAGTAATGATTTATTTGTAATGATTTTGATTTATTTGTTTTTGTATTTTGATGTACTCCATATTTGCAATACTAACTAATGTTGGATGTATATGTTTGTATGCATATGAACAATTTAGTAGCTTCTAACCTTTTATCTAAAATTTAATTAGGAAGTTCTGAGTTTTTTTTTTTTTGTATTCTTGATTTGAGTTTTTGTTTCTCTTGATGAGATTGCTTGTTTTGTGATGAAATCTGAAAGCTTCATATTGTTTCTATCATTTAATGTGTCTTTGTTTTTTAAGTATTATTATATGTTTTGTTGTAATAAAACAAATGGCTAATAAATCCAAAGAGTTTGCCCCACCGGCTTTATGGGAAAAAGAAACAAAAATAATATTTTGCGATCTTTGCCTCAAGGAAATTGATATGGGAAACAGACCAACTACTTTCTTCAATAAAGAAGGGTAGCAAAATATTATAAAAAAATTTAAGAAGATTACAAGCACAGAGTACGATAGGATGCAGTTGAAGAATAAGTGGGATCAGCTTAAGAAAGATTGAAGATTTGAAAGGACTTGAAACGAGGCTCAACGGGATTAGGTTGGTATCCAGTTAAACGAACAGTTGATGCACCAGAGGAGTGGTGGTCTGAAAGACTTGCGGTGAGTTTTATTTCTATATTTTGTTAATTTTTACTCTCTATGTTTTCTAATTGGATTTTTTTTATTTCGTTGTAAGTGGTTCCTACTGCAAAGAAATTTAAGATTTCTGGAATTGAGCTTAAGATGGAGGAAAAGCTCGACCGCATGTTTGAGGGGTGGTTGTAACTGGAAACTATGCATATTGCCCAAGTGAGGTTGGTTTGCTGGCAATGTTGTCAATCTTGGAACCATTGGAGGTTCTGGTGATTCCACTGAAATCTCTAGCCCGGAGCATAACGAATATGAGCCCACTTCCCTTTAAAGAAGCCGAAGGTTGATAATAGAAGAAAATCTAGTGCTAGTTTTCTTAGAAACGAACTCTCCCAATTGAAATATGCTGTCAGGCTTCTCATTCAATAATTATAGAGAAGACGCTAGAAATTTTAAGCGAGTCACCAGAAATTTATGAGGATGACTGTTGACCTCACTTTTGGTTGAGGTCTAGAAACTTCTTTAGTAGCCTAGGTCTAGCCATAGGACTTTCCTATATACTAGTCTTAGAAAACTAGAAAAAGTACTCTCACCATTAGAAATTCAAAACTCTTCTCTTTGCTCAACTTGAGATTCCACATATTGGTCCTAACCTCTAATATTTAGAAGGTAAGATCATTATGGGAAAGCTCAAGAAGAGTTCTTATAGGGTTACTTGGCTTTAGGATTGATCCTAGGTGTTGATTTAAATCTAGGGTACATTATGCCCTTACTATATTTTCACAATACACTAATTAAGATCAATACATGAGAGCCCAAAATGGGAATTTCATTGATTCATTGTTCATTTAGAATGGATATCTATCCAATTCTATGTGAAATGCCCAACTTGGTCTTTTGCCCCCCCCTAGGCACCTCCAAATTACTTAATTGCCCATGGGACCCAAATTTGGCTAAAATTCCTAAATTCTGCCAAAATACCCAAAATTGATCAAAAACATATTTTAAACACCTTGAACACATCCAAATTTGTCAAAATTGACAAAAATTTCCAAAAATGGCCAAATTACCAAAACGCCCCTTCATGACCTAAAAATCCAAAAATTCCTAAAAAATCCCAATAAATCCAAAATATTCCCAATTTTATTTTGTCCAACTACACCATGGTCCAATTTGGTCAATTTGACCATCTTTGACAAAATCCCCAAATTAGCCCCAATATTGGCTAACA